CCCACCCGTGTCGCAAAATAGCCGCGACGCACATCCTGATCGGGGAACTTCCTGCCCCGGGAGCAGCTGGTTTCTGCTCGGCTGAAAGGCGAGGCAAGCTGAGGCGCTCCTGCTGGGGGACACGCGTGGGCACCCGGCGCGCTTCACACGCGCACGAGGAGCACGGTCTCCTTTCCTGCCCGCCGGCGTTTGGCGTGTCCCCTAATAGCTAAGCTTATTTTGCTCAGAATCACTCCCAAAGCACCGCAACGAGAGCAGTGTTTTAACTCGAGGCCTGGAAGTGTATGAAAAGGTGGTTTTCCATGAAAGACTGAGGCGGTCTTACCCGTCACGTCCGCTGCTGCTAAATCGGCCGAAAGCTAAAGTTATTGCTTAGTCTATAGCATTTTCACGCTTTGTTCTTTTGAGGACGATTCAGAACAGGATAAGCACGTGTGCTTGTTTTCCTTATCAAACTCTTTTTTTCTAGAAACTAATACCATGAAGTTGCTGCATCTCCTTGACTGTGAGCGCAGTTACAGTAACATGCGGGTTAGACTGATAACAATTTAATTAAACCGTTCTGCTTGAGTCATGAGGAGCCCTAGCCTGAGGATTAGTTTAAAAAGGCAGAGTGGGAAGAGAAACAGGTATAAAGACATGACTTGTCCAAATCATAGAAGAAATCGGTGGCAGGGCCAGGCGGAAGAGAGCTAAAGTCTCCTGACTGTGGGTAAGTACTGACACAGCGTGCTGTAGGACTGGTAACGCAACCAGAGATCCCTGTGTCCTTTGTGACAGGTGGGTGTAGCAGGGTAATCTCTGATAAATCCTCAGTGGTAGTTTGGGAGAACAGTAACAATAATTAAGTATTGTTTAATTTTCTTCTCCGCTCTGAAGCTGAACAGCGCAGGCGTTTTGAATGGCCGTATTGTATGCAATGATATTTCAAACACGCATTTGCAAAAAGGCACTTTTAGGGTAGGTAGTTTGCTCAGGTGTTAGGGATTAAATCTATTCATTATGGCACAATACAGGAGGTGAGTGGGTATACATGTGCTCTCGTTTCTAATAGCAGGTTTTGCCATGGATTTCTTGGTGGGACAGAGAGGAGGGAGAGAAGTTGGAGAGTTTGACTTAGCTGTAAGACAAGCACAGGAAGGTTTAAACAGTGAAGCGACAAGTTTTCTCACTAAAGTGTGGGGTTTTTTTTGTTTTTTCTTTTACAGGTAACATACAAATGGCTAAGCTATACTCTGGGGGTTCATGTCAACCAGGCTAAACAGTAGGTATTAATGCATTCCACAAGCCTTTTATTCTGCGGCAAAGCCTTATTAATTACGTTAACCACAGTTGTGAAAACAGTATTAAAAACAATCCCTCTGGAAATATTTAAAAATCCTGCACATCCTCTTGGATATCGTTGCTTACGTTATTTAATGCTCCTCGCTCACTCCTCCCATAGGCAGGTCTTGACTTCAATGAGAGTTCTGCTTTTAGAGAGCAGTGCTCAGCTGGACTCCTTCCTGTTCTTTAAGTAGAAATACTTGGGCCAGAATACGTGTTTTAATGTTATGTTACTATAGGGATGTGTGTAACTCTTTCATCATGAAGTGTGGCTACTGTTTTCTGAGCATGGCTCCAGTCCTGCAGTCAGAGCCATGCCTTTGTGAGAATAACTCTGCCAGTCCATATCTGATCTCAGGAGGCTGTGTGTTATCCACAGACGTTACTAGGAGTAATGGTAGTTGTAGCTCACGTGTATAGCAAATACTTATCCACTGTGATTACCCTGTTCTTTAACACGTGCCCCGTTTTAAATATGTCTTGAGACTTGATAATGGGTGCAGCTAAATATTTGAAATAAGCAGGGAAAGTCAGCTGTAGTGTCAGAATATTTTTACATCTCCAAATTTTGCACAAAAATGTAACCTTCTCTTTCTGTATTTCAATGAATATAAATTACTTAAAATAGTTTCACTTTGTTTTATAGACTCTTTAAAAGGTTAATGATATTACAATGAGCTCTCAGGTATTAGGAGGCTATTTCTACCCAGCAAGGTCATTTTAAGCATAAGGTGTGAGGGTTGCATAAGCTTTTCCAGCCCCATAGCACAAATATTTTCTTGCACTATTTCTGGCTACAGCTTGGACTAAAAGGGGTGTCTGCTGTGTACATGACTGCAGTGTGCTAAGAGCAGCATCCCCTGTCTTGTCCAAACTACCTAAATATCAGCTTGGACATCTAGAGATTGTTTGGTCTCTGTCTTCTACATGTGTTTGAACAATTTAGATGATGAGTGAATCTGAGTGTGCTTAAGGGGTGGTGTAGACCTGACTGGACAGCTTTGGCTGGGAACAGATCTGCTCATCTAGTAAACTATGAGGAGCCAGAGAATTTTCTGCCATGGAGAAGATGGCCTGGGGGAAGCGGAGGCACTTTGTCTCACCCTTAAAAGCGACTTAGAGATGGAGAATTTCTGTGGCATTTTTGTACTTAAAGCTGTGTCCTTGAGGCTGGAGAAGTGCCGGATCACTACAGTGATAATAGCCATAAACATCCTAGTACAAGGAATCGTCAGTGCATCCAAAGCTGGAAATGGTAGTGTATATGAGTGTGTATGACAGCTCAGTTAGTGACATTATTATAAATTAATGAATGAATAGTATTAGTGGGTTGTGCTGTGCGTGCTAGCATAGTGATTGTAGTCTATCCTTGTGCAGCCATAAGGATCGTTAAGTATTTGTACCGCGTAATACCATACACTCCATGTGGATGCTATCTCTGTTCTACGGCATACCTGGGGCAGACTCTTATCATAAATCAGTGGTTTCAATGGCAGTAGAAAGCTTGAGTCTCAGCTCAAGCTCCTAATTGCTAATTTTGCTCCTTCTAGTTTCTGACCACTCTGTCAGTGGAAGTAATTGGGTTTGCATATACGTACCTGCCAATGTGATCGTGTACCAAAATCACCAAGTCCCTTGTCAGGCATTGCAGAATGCTAGGTCATATCAAGGGGAAAAACCTTTCTCCAGGGGAGACTTTGGAACAAGCTACCTAGAGGATTTGAGACCATCTTGAACCAACTTTTAAAGCTTCTAGAGCTTGTTTGCATTTCACCTTTGGTTTATACAGTTGTTGGAGTGTCATATTCTTCAAGGTGACAGATGAGGAAGTTGTCTCAATATGATTCAGTTAAATTAATTCTAGTTAAAATAACTGTGTTTATGTGAAATGTTTCCATGTCAAACTGGTTTTATTCTTTTTATGTAAGCTTTACTGAAAGAGTGGTGACAGGCCCTTTCTTTTCTAGGTGATTAACACTGGTTTCTTTTGTTGTGCAGGATGTTGTATGATTACGTAGAAAGGAAACGAAAGGAGAACTCGGGAGCTCAACTTCATGTCACCTATTTAGTTGCAGGAAATCTCATTCAGAATGGACATATTGTGAGTGCTTTATTTCTCAAAGGTGTCTGAGAGCTCTTTGTTCTTGTGTCTTCCGTCTTGTTTGGGAATATTTGGGTCAGAAGCTGAACTTGCTCTCTTTTTCCAGTAACAGGCACAATGTACTAGATCTTGTGTACCTGTAGAAAAGAAGGTACCTCTTCTATCTGAAAATACAAATCTTGAGAAGGAAAGATCAGTTGGTTATGATATAGCAATACAGTGTTGAATAACACATCAAGGCTTTGCTTAATTGATTTAAATTCTTTCCCCAGTTATCTCTCAATCTTATTATTATTAGACAGCAAGTCTGGAGGGTCCCTTGTGAAATCAGCTAGTCTGTTTGCCAGGATCTGCTGTGCAAAGGAAGTGTATTATGTTTGGAGAGATCTTGGAATTCAGTTGTTGGTAAATAAATGTTAAATAAAGCAAGCTTTCTAACCTGGTATATAAGAGAAACATGAGTTTGTGAATCATATTTAGTTTAAAATGATTTGATTTATTTAGCAAAGGAGTCACTAGATGTGGTTAAAACATTTGTTGTTTCTAGTCACTTCTTGTCAGACCTTCAAAAATGCCATCTGAAATCTCAAATAGGTACTCTAGCAATTTTTGAAAGAAGATAGGCAAATTAAATGTGTTTACCCTCCTGAGAATTTAATAACGAAAGTCTGAATGGCTTTGATATTCAACTAGATGTCTATTTGTGTCTTTAGTTACCCAAATATCTCATACACTGCAGTCCATAGCCTTCATTTAGAATTAGTATATCTCAGTGTGTCATAGCTTTTATTTGTAGATTGGAAAACAGTCCTTCTCGGTTTTCTTATTCTTATATAATAAGCTGGTCCACATGTATAGAATGTTCTGTTTACATCTCCAAATTTTCCTGAAACTGAAGGGAATTATTTATTGCGTTAGTTCTGTACAATGGAATGTATTTGTTAGCTGCTATACAGATACTGCTAGGTTTATGGTCTAAATTAACCTTGGAGGGTTTCCCCTAATTTCCTTTGGAAATAACAAGGTAGACAATTTTGTTGATACGCTATAATTTTTTTTAATTTGCCATAATGTATTTAAAGCAAATAAGTGAATTAAAAGTCCTGACTTAAATTACAGATGTTTTTAGCTTCAATTTTAGCAGTTTATCTATTTTTAAAAATCTAATAGATCTACAAAACTGAACAAGTAGAAGTCTGACTTAGATCTTTAAAAACAGCAAAAAAATTATTTTTGAATACTACATTATAGTTTCAAACGTGTGATCTGAGTGGCTGCTAATAAAAATGTCTTGCAGTGGCAGTAGGTTGTTAGGGGCAGAGATGAAACAATGCAGAGGTTAAGAATACCACACAGGAAGAGTTTAAAGCTCTCCAGAACGAGTGTCTAACCGCTAGCCAGAGTGGGTAGGAGAAGAGATCAAATCCTGAAGATGTTTCCAGAAGATATGTGGGCATTGGAATAACTGACAGGTAATATTTGGCATAAGTCAATTATTGGGGAGGAAATAAATCTGAATGCTTCCAAACAAACCCTGTTTCTTAATGAGTGCTTGTTGGTAATCCTGCACTACTGCCTGCTGTCAGTAGGTGTAGCCACAAGGCTGTGGATTCAACTGCAAGAATCCTCTCAAAGAGATGCAAATAGAAATTTGTCACAAATAATTCCTAGCCTGTCTTAAGCGCTGCATGCTCTTTATTTTTCTCCTTGTTACTTTTTGTCAGTCTCAGTGAGGGACTGAGGCACTTGATCTTTCTTTACTTTTTCAGATTGGCTCCATTGTCTTGCCTCTTACTCTTTTGATGACTAATCTACGGTACCACTAAACATAAAATTAATGGATGGATGTTGTCCAGCCTCTCTGTTCAGATACTCTCTATATCAACTGCAGCCTGTTGAATGCCATAGTTCAGGTGTAGTCCTTGAAGACTGAAGAAATTACATACTTCGGAGCATATTTTCTGGAAACGTTCATTTCTAACTTTTAAATTAATGCTCAATTTCTCATTGTGTTTTGCTTTTCTGGTGTCTTGTCTGTGTTACGGCTTGCTGTGTTGCAATTCACAGGCAATCTAAATGTATATGGCTAGCGTAGGCAGGCATATCAGCTTTCTAGCATTTTTGTTGTTGTTCGTGTTTCATCAGTGCTTCATCTCCCACTGTCAGGAATGAAGGATAGACTCTTTCTTTAGTGTTTCAGTGATCTGTGAAATAATGCACTGGAAAAGTAGGAAGACAGGTTTAAAAACTAGTGGCTGATGGCTGCTGAAAAGTTGTTGGCAGAGTTCTGTGCAACTGTAAAGCTGTACCTATAATCTGTAGACTTTCTTATTCAGTAGGTAATTGAAAATGCTAGTCTTATGTACAATAGATCTTTGTAAATGTTAAGATTGAAATTATTTTGATTAATAATAAATTTATTTTTATAAATATACTTTTATTACCTTTTTTTTTTTTATAGTGCCACAAGGTTGCAGTAGTGAGAGAGGATAAACTGGAAGGTAAGCAGCTCTTGAAAAATCATGCTTTTTGGAACTTTTTTCTTTGAAAGAACTGCAAAGTGAGTAAAGTTCAGAACTTGCTATCTGCACGTAAATACCTAATCAAATTGTTAGATTCAGATGTGTGCTTCTTGTACCAGCTTTTTCTTAAAATTTTGGAAATCTGAGCCAGCATCTGTGTAACTTCACAAACTTGTGATCTGAGTCTGATTTTTATGTTGCGTGTTTTAGTCAATGGTAGATCTTACTCACCTTCCTACCACTGACGGACAATTCCTCCTTAAAGGCAACAAGTATGCAAGCAGGGTACAGCAGAGTTTCACAGTTTTAGAGCAACTGTGAGCCTCCAAGCTTCCAAGGATGCTGCAGCAGATTATTCTCATTATTGGTTACATGTGATTGCAGTCTTTGCCCTGAGAGATCTGGGTGTTAATTTAACATCCTGTGAGAAAGTTCTCTCTTTTTACCTTTTGCTACGAAAGCAAATATCCCAGACAAAAGAACCACCGCTGTAACGCTGCTTCCTGAAACTGTTCTCCATGCGCTGTCAGTCTTTTTACTTTCTTTCAAGGTCTGGTGCTGCTGATAAGATTGGACCCATTTCCACAGAAAGACAACTGCAGGCTATTCATTATTTTCAAATAACGTCTTTGGTGTTCAAGAGCATACTGTGGCTTGTGTGGCCTTAAGTATCAGTATTAATGAACTAACTTTGCTTGAAGTACTGGTGATATTTCCCTTTTTGAAATTTGAAATAGGTGTCTAGCTAAGCTGTCTTCAGCAGTATAGTAAATTGTCAAGCAGCATAACTACTAGTTGTCATGTTTGTTGAATTGTGTGTGCTGTGTAACGTTCTATTTTGCTTTGGAGAGAAGGGTTGTTCATGTTTTTTGTATTAGAAGACAGGCCAAAGGTATGACTTACATTTGGAAGAGGCTGAAGTTTGTGATGGAAGTAGGGCTGTATAGTCTAGGACTGGCCCCAAGAAATGATTACTGTGTGTATTTTTACAGTGCCTAGAAGTTCTTTCTCAGACCAGCACTCTGTGCAAAGAACAATATAAGCAGTGATCTAAGAAATCCTAAAAACAGCTCTTGTCTCGAGGGGGTTACAATCTAAATAGCGTAGAATAGACAAAACATCAACTTGGGCAGACTACTCAAGAAGACACTTGGACAATACTGGTTGAAACTGTGGACTTTTCCTTAATGCTAGAGAACAGTTCCAGCAGGGTAGAGTTATCGCCATCTGTTTTCATCCTTAACTTTAGGTAGTCGTATAGATATTCTGGGTCCCAGACACTGGATATTCTGAAGGTAAACACAGAGAGGTTGGTCTTAATTTAGTTGTGTGAGACCCAAGTGGATACAGTGGAAAATGCATTTGACAGGCTTGCGGAGCTTGATAACCTGAATTTTCAATCAGTGAGCATGGCAAGAAGGTACAATTATATGTTCTTATTTTCAAGGCCTTGCTCTCAAGTGGTCTGTTTTGTCAGTCGTTCTGCCGTCTTTGGTAAAGAGCGTGGTACTTAAAAAGTTACCATTTGATGCTGTAAAGGCTGTAATAACAAAGGACTTCCTTTCTTTTTCCCCACCAGCAATGAAGTCTAAACTAGCCACGATCGCGAGTGTGCATGTCTACAGCATTCAGAAAGCCTTGCTCAAGGATAGTGGGCCACTCTACAACACGGATTATGATATTGTCAAAACAAACCTGCACAACTGCAGCAAGTAAGTTGCATCTTGGTTTTCTTCTTATGCTATGTGACTTGTGCTATGTAACAACACCAGTCTCACCTCAGCAGTAGAAATCAATAGTTACCAAATAAGCCTGGACCTTTAGAAGGTTAGAAAAAGATATCTTCTAGGTCATGTCAGACTAGATCCTAGGCAAATGCATTATATGATTATGCTGTAACCTGTCCTGTTTCCAGCTCTCGGTTGGTTCACTTGCCCTGCTCTTCCAACTGGCAAATTGTTCTAAAACCTTTCTTCTCTGATGTCTAGAATTTTTTTTTCTCATTTCCAGGCCACACTTAATTATGACCAATTTACATCCAGTTCTCTATCACACAAGAAGAGTAAACTGAAACTGACTTACAAAAACATTAAGCGGTGTGTTCAGCAAATTGCTAACTTGCAAGTTTGTCTTCTATTTTGTGAGATTGTGCTTTCGTCCACTGGGCTCTTCTGCCTCTCTGAAGATACACAGGGAAAATGAGTTTCTGCAAGATAAGACAGGAGCCTGGAGCATAGGGGGAAAGATGCAAAATAGGAAGAGCAAGCACAGGTGTCCTTCATGGTTGAGCTAGGGAAAGGTTGTCCTAGAATTAAGAGGGACTTCAGTCTCCAGACCTCATTGACTCTTCTGGATGGTGACTGGCAGCTGTGGCCACTGCTGGTACAGCTCTCTAGTGTTAACATCTATCTGTAAGGGACTGGACTGAGATCACCAAGCAGGTTGTGAGCTGGGACACCTTATCTGGCCTCTGAGTTGATTACTGTCCACATTGTACCACTCTTACACCTTTTATGTCCCCCTTTCTTTTCATACAGAGGTGTTACCACAACAGTTTCAGCTTGATGTAATTGGTATGTGCAGAGCCATGACCAGTCTGGTTTAAAAGGCGAATCCCTGCAGTACAGAATTTGAAGATAGAAATTTAGCTATCTTCAAGATGTTCACAAGAGAATGACTGAGAAAATAATGACTGAGAAAATAAAGTTCTAGATGCTGTGTCTTGTAAGTGAATGTCAATACCACAATAAGTTCTAGAAAACCCTGCTTCGGTGAAAATGTGTGTCCTACATTTTGCTGTAGTTTTGGCCTTATTCCAACCACTCTTTACTCTAGGGCACCCCTGCGTGGTGATATTTGTGCCGTAGAGGAGTCTAGCTTTGAGATTTATACATCCAGAAGGTTTAGACAGTTTGGATTCTTCAATACCATTTGTGAAGCCTATGTTTGAATCCCTACTTGGCTTTAGAGAAGAATTTCCCAAGCAAATTAAGAAAAATTCAGCTTCTTCATTTGCAGCAGGGCTGAACTAAATTCAGAATGACCATGTTTCCTCTTTCCTTGAATTATGTCAGCTACATGAATCATCTTTTATGCTTGGGACAAGATTGCTGGTGTACCCACAAAAGACTTAGCAAAAGTTTGACTGTGTGCATGTTCGTACCAAACAGAACCTACTGACTTCTTATATTTCCCTCTCAGTCCATTTTTTCATAAGCTCTGGGGCAAGGATCTTTATTCCGTCCTGTGTTTGTACAGGACCTGTTACGCTGTGCAGATGGTGGAGGTGGCTAGATGTTGTACTAATATAAATAATTAGATTTGATGCACATGACTGACGTCAGCTTTTATGCTTGTTCTGAGCTGAAGCAGCTCCTTGCCTGCAGAGCATATTTCAAACATCACTTGACATCACCTTCTTTTTTAGTGATTTTTTTTTTCTTTTTAGTAAATTTTGGATCAAGCTCATCAGCTGTAGTCACACAACAGTATTAAGGCAAGTTAACTTCCCAAATACCTGGAATATGTGAGGTTTAGAAGTGCTTGCTGAACAGTTACTGTAACTACTAACAAAAGGAACATTTTTTGTAATCTGAAGGGTTGGTAGTGTTGCTCTCGAGTGTTTGTGGAGTAGGAGCAAAAGACATCAGAAGTGTGGTGCTGACTGTGTTGAAACCAAGCTGAAAGTAGGAATATTTTTCCCTCCATGTCTTCCTTCCTTCAAAGGTTTGGATGTCAAGAGATTTCTTCTGTAGCCTAGAAATGCTGTAGTGGTGGTGGTGTTTGCTAGTCCATTTCAATTTCTGATCCGAGTAGAAGTGACTGTGAACTGTGCATGTGAGCTGCTAATGTGGAGGCACGGAAATTAATTGGCAGAAAAATGGCTTATTTCTTATGCAAATAAAAATATGCTGTGTAATTCACTGGATTGGAAGGCATGAGTCTGTGTGCTCTTGTGGCATTTCTGTAGGAAATCTGGAAGGCCTTGCCTGTGATTTGCACAGTGGGGAGTAGAATTCTGTTATTCTTGGGTATTGCTGTTCCTGACTGTCAGTGAATTGTATTGTAACTGTGAGCAAATCATTTAGTTCTTATAGCTCAATATCCTCAAACAATCATGTTTCAGACTGTTACAAGTTGAGATGCGTCTCTGTCTACTAGTAATTACATAGAAATGACTTTATATAGTTAAAGTCTTTGAATGTCCTCGGTATCTTCTGAGTGATTTAAGTAGATCACAACTGAAACTAAACTATTTACCTGGCTAGAGAGATTGTGACTGCTTGCTGTGGCAATAGTGGACGCTGTCAGGGCATCTAAACGTTGTAAACGTTTTAGATCATCAGATGGCAATCCTATTTATGCCACGAGCTTTAGCAAGTGTAACCAGTTTAGGAATAAAATGCAGTTCACTCCATCCCCACCCTGGGTGTGGAGACAGGCTTTTTTTTTTTTTTTTCTTGCTTTCCCCAACCATGACATCCGAACAGCTTGTTTTGCATTTGAATGCTTTGGCTCTTGCTGACAGGTTCAGCTGATCCTTTCAGTAGAGGTCTCTATCATTCTCATTCTGTGCCAGGCTTGCTTTCTTGTCCCTTGCACAAATTAAATTGCTCTTTTTCCCATAACAGGAAAGCATAGAACCAGAGAAGTAAGGCGCTACTGGGGAGGACACTGAGGTGAAAAATAAGAAGTTAAAGGGCTAATTAAATTTTTCACTCCATCGCACAGGTTTAGTGCCATTCAGTGTGCCGCTGCGGTCCCCAGGACGTCAGCCGAAGTTTCTCAAACGCAGACGTCTGCACAGGCTGATTCCCAAACACCAAGTGACACGAATGCTGTCAGCGTGCCTGTGGTCAACGGTCACGGTCCATCGACTGCTAAACAAACCCCGCAGCAGCCCAAAGGGATCATGGGAATGTTTGCAGCAAAATCAGCTTCCAAACCCCAGGACACAAATAAAGAAACTAAAGCAGAGGCTAAGGAGGCCCCAGGTGTAAGTTACCTCAGACCCGTTGGCAGCCTGTTGGGTTAATAGCTTTAATGAACCGTTCTTCCAGCTTTGCTCTTATTCAACCTAAATAACCTTAACCAGCAGTAGCCTCATCCACTGCTTCTGGTTCTAGACTTGCTGTCCACTGGGAATGCTCAGTCACTCTTTCTTAACTATTTAACTGGATAGCATAGCTATGTCATCTGCCAGTCATCTTGGGGGAACATATATTGTTCCACGCTCTTGATCTATCTATAGAAGTGTATTTGCCACAACTCTGATGCTTTGATTTTCTTCTTTGAGCCAGATCTCCAGCTAGTATAAACCAGCATAGCTGCATTATTGAGACAATTGTTCCATTGTCTTCAGTTACGCCAGTATATACACCAGTTGAGGATCTTGCTCTCTCTATTGTGCTTAAAAGGATTTGTTTTGAGCAATAAGTGAAATGTGAGACTTCCAGGTCTTAAAAGTATCAAGGTGTTTAAACTTGGTCTGTGAGGCACATTTCAGAGCTTGACCTGTGCAGGACTAAAATGTTTATCTTCTGAACTGCTTTTTTTTCCCCTCCAGGACAGATTTGTTTTAATTTTGATTCGTAAAAGTGCTTTTAAAGCACTGTGGCCATTAAATGGATATTAAAATGGTAATGTGCCCTGCATATGTGTGTGCGTGTGTGGGGGGGGGGTTGTTTGTTTGTTTTTTTAATAACAAACGAGAAGGTTTTGGTTCAATTTTCTGATTTTTATAGTGGATTTAGAACTGATGAATTATGCTTGCCTGTGTGTTTTGGAAACTTTCGTGTCTGATTGCCTTTTTCTCCATCAAAATAAATGGGATTAGGAGGCCAAGCTTCCTTAGTTTGTTTTTTTTTCTTTTTGTGATTTTTCATTTTGGTTGTGGCTATACTAACAGAATAGAGCAGTGATGTTTTTTGCAAACTGCTCAGCAGAATGGTGCAATGTGCCAGAGTAGTTGGATAAAGTCTTCATGGTTTGGCCAATCTGTGTTCTTTCCTCTGTTGGTTACTGTGAATTGAGGCACTGATATTTTGCAAAAAGAACAGTTCTTTACTGGGAACTGACCCAAATCCCAACCACTTATTTCACTAACACTGTCAGCCATTAGATGGGAATGTGACCTAAGTTAGACTTGAAGGCATAGCTAAGGAGTGGTAAGTAATGTACTCTTGTCCCTTAGATCCATGCAGTATCTAGTATCTTTGAATTATCCTAAACCAGTACTGAAACCTAAGACATCGACTAGTCAACAAAATCTGTATATTCACTTTGTTTGTCCAGAACCAATACTACGCATTTTGAGGACGGTGTTTCAAGTGTGCTGGTGTGTCCTTGTCTGTTTTCACTAGATACAGGGCTAAACGCAGGCAACACGTAATTCCTGTGGTTAACTCTTGTCTTTGCTTCCAGGTGTCTACAGCAAGCAGCAAACCACCAGCAAAGGTCAACATAATGAACAATTTCTTTGGAAAAGCTGCCATGAGTAAGTGCTTTATAACATACGTCTGTTTTCAGAAACCATTGTGGTCAGGGATCAGCCATCTGTAATTTAAAAAAAAAAAAAGTCCAGAGGAATATTGGAAATCTGTTGTTTTAGCTAAATAGCAATTAAAAATAGTTAATGATACCAGGTATTATGCTATGCAGTTACAGTGGAGAGGTATAAATAAAGAAAAAGGGAGCAGAACTCTCCCCAAAACCACAAGGTATGAGACTAGTTGGATTTCCTTTATATCCCCTCTGTTATAGTTTTCTGTATCATTTTTCCACCCTTTTAAACGCAGAGGGGTTAACTTTTGTGTATGCAGCTCAAGGCAAAAATTAAAGAAAAGTTTTAAGTGGAATTTTTCTGACAAAGAGTTTGCTGGGTGGAGATCAATTAAAATGACATATTTGTGTAGACTAACCCAGGAAGGATTTTTAGTGCAGAAGAGAACTGATTTAGAGTGAGTACTTTTGGCTGGAGCATTGGCTATTGGTGAAATGATTGCCAAAACCTGTTATACAGAGTGTGTTAATGATATTTGCTTTTCATCACAAATCACTGAAGAGTCTATAGTTAGATTTAGGGTTAACTCCTCTATTGTAAATTGAAGAGCTAATAATCGGAATAGAAAAATGAGGGGTCTTTTTCCCCTTTGAGCAAAGCTTTGGACTAGATGGCTTCCAGAGGTCCCTTCCAACCTAAATTATTCAGGTCTAAAGACAACATGCTGACGCTGTTGAACAGACATTGGAAAACGGCTGTAGGACTTTCTTCAAAAGTTGCGTTTATTAAAAAAGAATACAAGAAGATTCAAAGAAGAGTTACTGGAGGAGAGTAAACAGCAAACTTGTCTTTCTAACAGACAGCTGTTAGAGCTTGCAGGGTGCAGTTCCAGCTTTGAGCATGCATTACACGGTACTGTTAGATGTGTCTCAGTTCCCATTCTGATGAGCCTTGAGACTGAGGACGCTTTCGCCTAACCCTTACAATTCTAAGGGCAGTTACTACCATGAATTCAATTAAATTCTTAAGATCTGAAAAGATCTCTCAACCAAAGTTTGTGTTCTGAAAACCTAGGAAACTGAAATGGTAAAGATAACACATCGATGGTACAGAAAACTTCTTGAATCTGTTTCCATGATTTGCAATGGGGTTAGCTTCTCTGCTGAGCTGTGTCCGGGAGCTCTTTGAGGAAACTTGAGGTTATTGCTGGGATGGAACAAATAGAGCAGAACTGGAAATGATTATATGTATAGAAAAGATAGGTTGAGTCCAGGAGGGAGATTTATTTCCTACGTGTTGATATGTCTCTCCTGGCTTCAAAGATTTCGCTATTGCCAGAAAGCCCTAAGTTAATCATTGGGCCCTTCAGCTCTATGCTATTGATCATAAATAAGATAGCTGTCATTCATGTTCTTATATATGCGATGTTTTCCCTCACTCGCTAAAGCAGCCAGCCTGTTTTTCAGGCAGTCTCGGAAAGGTGTTGGTGTGGGGTCTTTTAGCCCTCTCGTTAGCCTCTGCTCCCATTGACAGTGTAGTTGATGTTATTGTTGAGTCCTTTTTCTTCCCCAGGGTGTCTTGCACTAGAGTTGATACAGGTTTCTAACTTACCTTGTCCTCTTTTCGTTGTGCGTGTGTGTAAAGCTGCTGAATGAAGCTAGCAGATTGTAATTAGGTACTAGAGTGCTAAAAGCTCTGCCTGTCAGGTGGACAAATATACTATTTTGCTGTCCCCTCCCACCTGCTATCTCTTCTCTAGTACTAGATTAAGCCTCTTAGAGCAAAATTATCCGTGTACGTGGTGCTGTGTTAGACAAAGGAGATTGATTCTTGATCGTTTTGGGGTGGAAGGGGAGAGAGAAGAGGTAGCCAGTACACATTGGAAAATGCTAATCATGGGCTGTAGTGTTATGCAGCATGGAGATGGCACACAATTCTGATTTTTTTTCCATCAATCCTCATTCTTCTGTTTCTGTATTCTTTCATGCTTGATTAAAACTCTGATTTTTAGAAGGGGTAAACTAACTCTAAAGATGGCTGTGCTGTTACCCCAGGGGAGTTGTGTAGAGGAGTGGCCTCCAACCTATTCATAGCCAAGTCTCTCTTGAGAAAATTGACAGTGTTCTACGGCACCTTAGGTCCTGGTGATTACATACCCCTGGCTATAAGGACTTGCCACTGCCTCCTTGCTGTGTTATGCAGAGTTTATTAAATAGTGTAGCGCGCTCTGTTTGCAATGTTGGAGTTTGGGCTGTGCCATCAGGAACAAGGGAACCAAAGCAAGAAATCGGCTGGAAATGCAGGCATGTTCTTTTTATGTAAGGTGCAGCTTGGTCAGCCTAGATCCCTTAATGCTTTTACACATGGTCTGTAGTGCTTTCCATTTTCTTGGCGCACTGTTTCATTTAGCCAGCTCCTTCGTAAGTTCTAGTTCATACTGGATGCCCGGTATTGTTCTTTCTTAATGCTTTATTCACAGATAAACTCAAAGTCAATTCTGTGCCTGAGCAGCCAAAGGAAGAAAAAGAAGTAGTCAAGCCTTCAGTTCCTCTAGCAGAACCAGAGTCACCCCCCAATACCATTGCAGAGAAACCTGGGAGGAAAACACAGTCTGCTAAAATTCAACAAAAGGACAAAAAAAGGTGGGCCATACTTTTCAGGGTCCCAGTAATCTGTTAACCCACTTGTTGATGACCAGCCAGCTCTGTGCAGGCCGTACGTTGCTGGCTCACCTCCTGTTTCCAGCTACTAAATTGCATTAAACGTGGCTAAAATTGTCTCTATTCAAACTTTTTCCTAATATTTCTTTTCCATTTAGGCAAGTGCTGTAGATGCCTTAGGGCCATTTGTGCCATTGCAAGTGGGAAGGGACACAGTCCAGGTACTCTTCAGTGGGAGGCGGTGGCTTTCCATGAGACAACCTCATGCTGTGAGCAGGCTTAGTATAGCCCCCACAAGCAATCTGCGGGGGCTGGCAGGAGCACCTGTGCTGCAAGGAAGGTAGTATAGTCCCAAGCTTGTACGTACACAGCTTCCAGCACACAAAGTTCTGCTTGTTGATTTCCTAATGTACTGCTGCTTTCGATGTCGCTGGTTTATTTTGGGCTGAGACTCCAAGTAAATTTAAAGTTCAGCCCTTTGTGTTTAATCCAACCCAAACTGACAGAGACTAAAAATCATTACAGTCTGATGGCTCTCTGGTGGCCTGTGAGTAATTAATTGGTGGTCTCAATTTGTTTCTTATTAACTAGGTAATCACACCACCCAGCCCACCATCACAGTTAGTGCTAACTGGTCATCTTATTGATAGCCTTGCTCAAAAAGCCAGGGGCCTGGAAGCTGCATGTTGGCAGTGTGATGTTGGGGAGGCCACTTGGGCTGTACCAGCTCTCTGAGAATATGCGGGCCTTTAGCCTCCAGGCTTGTTAGTCTGACGTGTCTCGCCAACATTAAAAAGAAAGAAGCTATTTTATTTTTCCAGTAGTCTTTAAAAATGGCTCCAGGATTCTGAGACACTACCTCATAGTCAGTCAGTGGCAAGCAGTCTGTCAAAAGAGCTTCTGAGTGATTCTGTTGGGGACATTAGTGTTTGGGAGCCTGAGCTATAGAGACAAGATCAGTAACACCCTCTTGCCAGGTTACTGTGGCCAAGCTAGGTGAGGTACTTGGCAAAATGCTGAACTGTAGAGGGGCTAAAGAAATCCTTCTGGTTTGAAGAACTGGAAATGGGTAAGGATGAGAGGCTTAAAAATGCTCATATGCCTATGCCTGGTTGAACATATGAGTATACTTCAGCATATGTGATACTTGTGTGTTTGAGGTACAGAGGTATTGATTCCTTGCTAGCAGTCCTTTTATCAGGAATGTATTTTTCCAAATACACGTGTTGCTTTCATGCATGCACAAGGGATAACCCGTGTTCATTCTTTCTTTTCCCTCTCTCTCTTTTGTGGCAGTAAAATGAAGAGGGTGGACAAGTCAGATAACGAGGAGGAAAGAGAGCTTGGAAATCTGAAGAAAAAGAGGAAGCGAATCAAACAACTTCAGTCTGACAGTAGTGATGACGAAGGTAAAAGATATGAAAACAACCAGGCATGTAGGTCAGGGGCCTGATTTCAACAATATTATTATCCAAGGCTGTTGGTCAACGATTGAGGGAATAGTTTAGAGGACTAAAGACCATGCAAATATGGCTGTAGTTTGAGCTTTCTCTTTCTTTTGTGCTGCAGGCACTTGAGCATACAATTGAGATGCTTCAGTCATTTAGTCTTTGCTTTAGCTTAGCTCAGATCTGGCTGTCTCCTCACCAGTTGTGCTGCCAATCACACTGACTTGTGTGAAGTAGATTCTCCTATCTCTTGTGAAAGACGTAGTGCCTTCCAGAATTATATAACTAGTCATAACCAGCTCATTTGGTGAGTTGTAAACACTTGCAAAATGACCCCCGCCCCTCAAGGGTCATTTTTAGTATCTTTATTCAGTCTGTTTATAGAAATGGTTTGGAAGACAGCATTGAAAGCAAAATTCCAAAAAATAGTTAATAGAGAAACTGGAGGCAAAACAGTTGAGCCATATCCGATGCGACTCTGCGTCTCCGCAGTGCTTGTTGGCTTTGATAGGAGTAGGGTGCCCAGAACGTTGCAAGATTTGGGCTTATAATGAGGAACAGCAGAGCCAGATTCCAAAGAATTTGGATAATTGAGGTGACAAATGCCGTTCAATGTAGATAACTGGAAAATAAGTTGGGAACCGAGCAAGGGAATATGTGCTAAATGGAACAGTCATCCAGCAAGCTGATCAGGAAAAGAATTCGGAGATCATTATGGACAAATAATTGAAACCATCAGTTTAGTGTACAGCTCCAGTAAAAAAAGGTAAAACAGCTAATAGGTTATGTTAGCAAAGGGATGGACTGAAGGAGGACTGAAGCTCTTTGCTTATTTAGTATGGTTAGAACATGAGAAACAATCATGAAATGAAGAGATTCTGTAATACAAGTGGGAGATGGGGATACGGCTGAATGTCTTAGGCCTAAGGTGGCAAGGAGACGGCTGTTTTCATGGTTTCTTTTTTGCCCAGCATAATTTCAAGTGATCTCTGTCATCAGGCATCCATCACATCTGCTCAAACTGTTCCACAGGATGATAAATCTCTCAGGAAGCTGTTCTTCACGATCAGTCTTAATTTCATCACATTCCTGTGTGCAGCTCCTTGTTTAGCCATAAAAAATATATATGCCTACACTCTTTGGTATTTATTTCTTTAAATATTTGTAAGCTATTATCTGGTCTTTCCATTTACTCACCACTCAGCCAACTGACAAGCTGCGTTGTTTAGCTCTTAAGAGGGAAGATTGAAATCAGCCCATTTAGCCACTTGAAGCATTACTCCTTGCTGGGTTGGAATCTCTCAGCTTGTCAGTTCTCTGCTAGCAAGAGCAGGCAGAAATGAATCCTTTGTTTCAGGCTTAGGGTAGGACCATATGGAGAGACTGTTATTTGAAGCACAAAAGTCTGTTGGTCCTGTCCCGCTCTCATTGCGATGAGTTGGGTACCCCTAGCCTCCAGTGTTCATGACAGGATTTTAAGCACGTAGCATGTTGGTAGGCAACCTCGTAGTCTGCTTTCCTTATCTGTTTCTGTTAGAACTATTTTAACGCAAGAGCAGTGCTGGAAGATTGTCATAAGTTGAGGACCACTTCTGTAGAACACTACAAACTCCTGCAGATTGCTGCATGCACGCTTAAGTTTTTCCGTGTCAGGGCTCTCTGGTCTCTCTTGTTTTTTTCCTCTCACTTGGAGAATTCTCTTGTCACTGCTGTTGCTCTTCCTGCATCAGTCCTCTTTGGTCTTTCCATCTACTCTGGAGAGTTAGTTTTGTACTACATCAAGAACTGGCTTTCTATTATGTATTAGAATTGTAAATTTATGCAAATTATAGTGATGTGTACAGATGTGTATATTATGCAAATTCTTTGTATTATTCCCTTCTGAAAAAGGGAAAGCTTACAACTGAGAGAGCTGCTCTCTTCTTCCTTAAGTTAATGGCTATCTAAACCACCCTGATTAGCTCTGCACTGAGGGGCTTGCTTCTGCTGTTTGCCCTTCTAAATCCAACTGGGTAAAAGAAAAGAGGTTCAAACTCTTTGAGATACTCAGATTGAATCCAAACTGATAATATATGTAATATTACATTCTGTATTCCAGTATGAGAATATCAGTTGGATGAAACAGATACTTAAAGGAAAAATTGTGCAGCAGCTGGACTTTGAGAACATTTGCCCTTGAAAAAGTGGAAAACAGGTTTCTGCAGCGAGCAGGGGCAGTTTTTAATCAACAGCACTCAGTGAGCAAAACGGAGCCCGGAGTGACATTGTTCCACGCTACATCCCTATGGGAATTAGAGAGGAAGGAGCCATATGCTGTACAGCGTTTGGAGATCGCTGCTGAAGAGGGCATGGCTCGTCTACCGCCTGCGTAGCTCACTCACAGATGATAGAAGGTTACGTTTTTAAATACGTAAGACGCAATATGGGAAGCAAAATGATTAGTGCAGGTATCGTAGGCTAATGGTCTAGCTGCCGCTTATGTTAATACACCAAGCTAACCTGGCTGACCTCTGCTTGAAGCAAATTAGGAGGTGCTCGCAGAGGCTGCTCCACTGCGGCTCAGAAAGACAGTGGCCTCGGTAGGGGCAATAACCTTTCCAGTGGGTACAGCTGGAGTCACAAGGGGGATGCTTGTCCACAGCCATTACTGTGACTGAGCAGCATTCAGACAGGGCTCCACCTGTGTAACTGTGCTAGTAAAATCACCGCCCTTTCTTAGACGGGCTTACAGTGACAGTTTTGTGGATTTCAAACTGGGTCCATATGACTGATGCAAAGCACTGCGTGGACACTCCTGTCGGTGCAAGTCTTTTGTGTTTCTCTCTCTCTCAATCTGCTCCTAATCTACTGAAATTAGCCCAAAATAAGCTATTCTGACATAAGTGTCAGCACATTGTATCATGTGGAAAATACAGAAGGCATAAGACACAGTCATCTCCCTTAAAATGTTTTTTCATTAAAAATTTATGTTGGTATGAGGGTGCCTTAGTCAGTGCAGGTTGTTTTGCTTCCATTGCCAGAACAAACTACATGAGTGTGTCCACAGAGAACAGGAGGTTTTGGCAGCTTCATCTATACCAACACAGGCAACATTTCATAGTGTTGACAAGTATTTTACAGCCACTCCAGTGATTTCAGTGGCACTGTAACCTACAAACTCTATCACTTTGCACCAGAGCTTTTCACAGTTTATCCAGGCAGGGTCAGAGCAAACTGAACAAAGCCAGAGTTTACATCCTTGGTACATCCAGTTGCCCAACTTGTATCCATTTCATGCAGCTGTTACTGTTGGGTAAATTATGGGCAGCAGCTAGAGGTTGATTCAGGAGTTATCACATGTCAGAGGACTGTGCTGGCTAGAAGAGGATAAAGTAGTAGAAAAGGAGCTTGATGGTAGTCAGAAACACTGACGTGGGGAGAAGGTGATTTCTGTTTGCCGAAAGCTGGGGAAACTGGTTTGAAGGGGGCCGAAGAAAAGCTTGGGTTTCCCCCAAATGAGAATAGTAGAGGTGATATTCTGAAAAATATCTTCAGCAACCTCTGCTTGAGCATGGCAGGAGTGGCCGATTTCCCCCAGGGCAGTTTTCAGTCCTTCTAGCGTAGACTCTCTTAAGAATCTTTTATGATTGATCTGACCACTAAGTCTATTCTTTTGGGTAGCCTGTGAAGTTTGTTTGGTGCTGTGCAGTATATGGGCACCTGAGCCTCCAGTTGCTGTGAGACTGTGAAAAATATTAACAATTCTGAGCTCCCTGCAGCTCCTCAGCTGTGATCGCGGCCTGCCTCAGCAGCTAGCACCTTAGAGTAGACCAGTTGTTTGGTTTTGTCTTTGCACTGCTGCCAGACCCAGCTATTTGGAGCAAGGTGAAATACCGAGTCATGTTATCCCACTCTGTTTGCATTTCTGTGCCTCGCTTACTGAAGTAGTTAGGAGGCTGAGTCCTTGTTTGAAGAATGTAATTTATTATTCAGCATTGGCAGCCAACCACTGTTTCACTTGAGCCCTTCTTAACCTACGAAGGTCAGTTGGCCGTATGCCTGGCACAGTCATAACTCTTAACACTGACCTAATCGGTTGGGACAGCTACAGATCCAGAATTCGTGTTACAATGACAGTATAAACGCAGTGCTACAGCCAGCCGAGGCTGGGAGGAGAAGCCAAACAGGCACTCTGTCCTCCCATCCAACAGCTCCATTGTTCTTATTAAGCAATAGGTCAGATGAGGAGTTTCTTCCCCCACATTCCTAGCTCTCCCCCACATTTGAGGCCTTGCGTGGCAACATTTCTCACTTGGACTTAGAGAGGACTCTCTTTAAAGCCTTTTAAGTTAGTCGTGGTGCCTGCTGCGTGATGCAAGGTACTGCTCTTCCCCTTTGCCCCGTGCTGAATATACATTGCCCTCACAGCTCAGTTCCTCTGCCAGCCCCACAACAGACTGACCCTGATTTTCTTGTCTATGTCTATATGCCCTTTCTATGTCTATAAGCCCTGCTAGTTTCACTGAGGTCCTGTTTGACAGAGCTGTTAGAGGCTCCAGTGCTGTTTTTGCTATGTACAAATTCGTGAAGGTGGCCTTGACCATTTTGGTCAGTTTTGACATTGAAAGGATTCCACTCTCTTAGTCCTTGCACCCATCTGCTGCATGGAGAAAAACTTAGATCTCATGGTGACAGATGAAAGAGTAGACTTAGATTTTTTTTTTTTCTTTTTTTCAAATGAAGGGTTGGGTTGTCCATTAACAAGATCCTTAGGGTGAGTGATAGTATATTGTACTTAATTCTTGGAATAAGGACGTTTCAAGCAAATAGCACTGATTATTTCGGATTTGTAGCATCACTTGTGAAGTGATGACTCTTTTTTACCAACGCCGAGAGAGGAACAAAGTGAAGTTAAGGTCATCCACTGAGTTGGGAATATGCAGTCTTAAACCCTGACTCCTTTAATTCTAAACAAATCACAGTGCCTCTTGTTTAATGAGCAAGTGAAATATATGGCTAAAACTTTCCAGTTTCTGTGCCTGTTTTTAGTGCTTCATTTGGTGGAGCTGATTATGGCTTACCAAAAATACCAAATCCACTTCCCCCATCCTATCCTGTCCTTTACCCCCTTTCCTTTGGGAACTGCAATGTGTAGCAGGAGACAGACAACCTGGAACACTTTATCCTAACTTGAGTAAAACAAATCTGAGGTACAAGTTGCAGGCAATAGCCCAGAGTCAAACTAGATCACCTGAGAGAAAGTAGTGGCTGCCAGAGGTCATTGGTCCCACAGACTATCAAGAAGTTCATCTCTGCTTCTTACCAGATGTCCCACCATCTTCCACACCTGAGGAAGAGAAAGCTCCATCTCCACCTCCTCTACCTGCACTGAAGACTGAAGTGGAGCCTGTATCCACTGAGGTAAAAGCATGTTATGGTTGTTATGATATGTTATCTGATTCACTTGGGGTTTTCCGAACCACTTTTCAGGTGCTAAATCTATTTCATCGCAGCAAGGGTTCTGATGTCTTGCACACCCTGTTTTTACTCTTCTCATTCTTCAGAGGTATGTTGAGACAACCCCAACATGTCCTTCTAGCATAACTAAACAAATTTCAAAATGTCACATGCTCCAGAAGAGGCAATATGTCCCCTGTGCTGCAGACAGGAAAAGCTACCGCCTCATTGAAGTTATTTTTTGTCTCCCTGAAATTTGTCTTGGTAGGATAGGCAGAATTGTGGCATTAGCAGAAATGAGACTAGGGTAACCTGGGAAGGGACGGAGTTAGTTACCAAATCATGCTTGACGTAACTGAAGAGACTAGATTTAGCTCCTGGTGCTGATGTTCTTATAACCTGGCTACATGCACCGGGTCTTAATTTTTGATTTCTCACAGTACTGCAATGTCCTTCAGGTTTCAGCTGGAGGGAGGAAGAGGAAACGGAAGCGTGTGCTGAAATCCAAAATGTTTGTCGATGAAGAAGAAGGCTGCATGGGTAAGACTTAGCTGTTTCCTACAGCTCATTCTAATAGAGATGTGTTGAAGATTTATTTTTACAGGCCAGGCCTGTAAAAGGTTTGGGAAGAGGTCCTCAATATCATTTTGTTGTTCTCCTTCAACCTCATGCTCCCGGACTGAGGTAATTGCCCTTTTGGTGAAGGAGTGGTAGGGAGTCATGGAGCTATTCTTGAATCCTTTCTTTCCTGATTATTCTCAGAGTTTCTTCCTGTTCTTCTCCCTTCCCTTTTAGCAGCATGAACACCTCCTTCATTTGTTCTCCTCTCCAAAGATACGAGCTTTTAAAGATGATACAGAGAGAAGTTTAGGTTTTGGGATAAATTCTGGTTGCTTGAGTCTCCAGAGCTGTACAACACAGCTTGATTATAAGTTAATAAACATTTTACGAATCTCAAATAAACTGGGTCCAAGTTGCAAACATCTGGAGCTTAGACGGAGTTTCCCTTCCTGATAAGGGTGGTCCTGCTTTTGGGAGGCAAGAGGGTCTTTACACGAGCACTGAGAGCCAGAGGCTTTGAATTCCAGCCTGACTGGATGCTGATTCCTTCTGTGACCTTGAGGAAGTTGCGTATCACTGTATTTGTTTCTTCCTCTGTGTCCTGACATTGAAGTAGAGCTGCAGTAGTTCGGAAACATTTTTCTAAAGGTTTTGAAAATGAAGAGGATGGAAATGTTTTTTAGAACACCACTGTCAGCTCAACCGTGTGGGATGCTTAGCGTTCTCCAGTCTTGCTGATCTGAATAGATGTCAAGGGAGCTCAGCCAGTTCTAGCAGAAGATGCATTGCTGTGTTTGTACAGGTTTGTCCTTGTGCAAAAGCATAGATAGATAGATGCAAGCTTGCTTGGCCCAAACCTGGAGCTGCCTGGACATGAATCAGCTTGTGTCTGTTTGCACCTGTCTGTATAGTCATATTTTACGTTTCTTATTAACTTTGTACGTCTCCTTTAAGGAAACATAAAGCTAGCACTCATCAGCTGGCTATGATAGTAACCGAAATCTCAAGTCAAAGAAATGGACTTGTTCAAAGTTGTTGATTGATTTGGCTAGTTGCATTATGGGGTGTTTTGCACTCCCATCCCAGATAGAACCATTAAAACACTTGGAAGGAAAATAGAACAAAAAAGGCATTAGCTAGGGAGTAAAGTTTAACAAGGTCTGCATCCAGAGCTCACAGTAATGACTTTCCGGATTCAGTTTCCAGCAACGAATGCTTTTCTCTCTCTCTCTTCAGCCTTTTCCAAGTGCATCAGGGCTGGGAAGATTGCCTTTCTTTCTCCCTCCACCCCACCCCCTAATAGATTTAATAGTCCCTTGTGAAATCCAGACCTTTGGTTTACAGTTCATATCCACTATGATTTTAAGAAAAGGGAAATTCAAGCCCTGTTGTGCATTCGGAAGATGGTCCCTCTAGGAAGGAGAGAGAGATGGATCTGTGATACTGAAGAACTGGGTAGGAAGGAGATGCTGCTTTCTGCACTAAAAACATACCAGGCTGTTGCAAAGAACTTGCTATCTGCTTATTGTCCAGTTTCCCCCTCCCTCCCCTTTTCCTGCACAGCACAGGCCTAAGCGTTTGTAGGCCAAATAACTTACAGATCTCCTGGGCTAATGTATATTATTGTTATCCTTTGAAATACAGGGTTTTTCTCCCTGCTTTCTTTTTTTTTTTTTAAAAAAAAAAAAAAAACAAGGGCCAGTTTATAGAGATGTTAAATCCCACCGTTCAGATTAGGCTGTATTTTATATTTCACTGTGATTTTACGGATCATTTTCACAAGGGCTGCAATAGCAAGGAATTGGTGTCAAAAAGCAAAGCTAATTTAAGGTTTAGCCCTGAGGGGAAATTGAGCAATTAAAGCATCTGTGGAGTTAAGCACAAGGCATGTTACTGTGCATCAACTAGGACACAATCAGTCGAGTGCATGCTCTCAATCTATAGCAAAGGGGAATTACTGAGATTTCAGCTAATGTTTTTCTGCCTTACTCTTGCAAAAGCCTGAAACAACGCACGTGGACTTCTATATTAGAATAAGACTGTCTACATTGTAGGTAAATTGGTTACTGCACTGGCTTGTAAGTTAGAGCTTACACACACATTTGTGTTAATGTGATTTAAGGAGTCCCAGCTGTGAGCTGAGCTACTATATATCAGTAACTATCTATTTGCATGCTCTCAGCTGCCCCAAATACCAAGTTTTACAGTTCAGCTGAGAGTAAAAGAGAATTAATCTAAGCTGTGTTATCTTGTAATTGAAAGTGATTAAGTACACACTGTCGGAGTTACCAGAATTACTGACTTAGGTGACACGTAATAACTCTGTAAAGCTCAGTCACTGGCTAGTGGTCTCTTAAAGCTGCTCATGGAAAAGCCAATTGCCTCTGAAGGTAAGTTAGCTTGGATTTATAGTCCCTACTTGAGTATCCACTAACACTGAGGAGCAGGATTTTGTGCCATTTCTCTTCCTAACCTTTGATTACATAGAAAACCTTATTTGATTTGATGTATTAATACAACTTAAAACCCAATTCCCAGAAGTAGGGAAGTTAGGACATCTGTTTAAAAGAATACAGTTGCTAAAGAAAAATGATTTACTAGAAGAATACCAGAACGCTTCTAGGAAAGCTGATACAGCAACACTTACTAGTATCTAACAATGGCTTTCATCAGTGGAGCTGACTCCAGTTTCATTCCAGTAAGCATTGCCTTATATACCTTAGCTTTCCATCATTGGACACTGACAGTAATGAGCAGGCAATCCCATTCAGTAAGAGTCCTTGATTTCAGTGTTGGGCTAGTTTTATTTTTTGAGGGAATTTATATTTGCCCTGCTTGTCCATCTGTATAGAAAGAAGTTACTACCTAGGTTTTCTGCTCCTTCCCTCATCTCTGAGGGATACTGTGTTTGCTTTACTCTTTCCTGACTTTGTTATGCATAGTGGTGGTGAGTGACAGGAAATCTGGCTCTGTATTTGGATCCTCTTGCCCTGAAATTTAACCACCTAACTGATTGCTTGGGCCACTGTAGAAATCAGACCAAGTCAGAGTGATGTTTTTTGACCATGAAAGATATATTTGGTCTTTTAAGCCTAAACTAAGGATTCTGACTTAGTTCAGATTCATCACTTTCAAATAGCTGCTTGTCAGTCTTTGTGAGATGAATTGATGGCTGCAGGCCAGGCCCCAGTGAAGAATTATTTTAACTGTGAAGGTCTTCAACACAGTTGGCCCCTTGTTTATAGAAGAGGGCAACCTTTGAGCAGATTTGGAAATGGAACTGTCCTCTTTAGGGCCTTTCCCAGGGGGGAGCATTGTTGTTCAAGGCATGCATTTGGCCTGTGAATGAATGCGTACGAGGACACCAAGCCATTTTGAAGAGCTGGATGGCATTAAAGCTCCCACGTCATTAACCTCTACCACCTTAATATTTAAGAAGCGAGGGAAGAGTAGAGAAAGCCAGTCCTGAAGTCCAGTCACCTGGACTCCAGAAGTACTGGATCCAGTGCTCCTGGATCTACTGCATAACCCTGAGGAAATGGACTTAATTCCTTGTGCCTGCATGTAGTCCTTGAAGCCAGCATGCTCATTTGTAGTGTAAAGGGAAGTCTGCAGTGGAAAAGGCATTGCTCTTCAGTACATAGGCTTAATCATCTTTTTTTTTTTTTATTCAGTGACTGAGAAGGTTTATGAGAGTGAATCCTGTACAGATAGCGAGGATGACTTTGCAAAGTCCAAGCCACCAGCTGTACACAGACAGCCTGCACCCCCTGTGAAGAAAGAACCAAAGGAGGAAAGGAAGAACGTAAAGAAGGGGGCAGCCACTGCCAACAAAGCCAATAAACAGGTCTCCATTATGGGTTTCTTTCAGAAGAAATGAACTATGTCTTTCTCCTGGTCCCCTTGGCAGCTTGGAGAAGTTACTCTTTGTGTAGCTTTCTGAAGGCTGCTGCACTGGAGAACAATATGCAATCTTCTGTTACGTAAGATATTTTGCTTACTGTGTAAGTAAGCCCTCTGGACTAGATTTTGTATTAGAGAAGTTTTATCTGTTAATGCAATAACTTGTCTTCTATACTAAGCTGTACGGAAACCTCCATCTAGAAGCAAAACCTAGAGAAGCTTGTGGAAGACTGTTAATCTAGTCACATTAAATTTTATTTTTTTAATATGGCCTTTTACCTGTTGAGTGTTAAGGCCCACGTTCCATGAGTGAGAATGGACTAAATTAGGACTTGAGTTGTGGCATCTTTTTTGTTGTTTGTTTTGTTTGTTTTTTCCTCCCTTTACACCCCCCAGCTCTCCAGACTGATCTAAATGTTCACACTGGTTAGAGGCTGTAATTGAACAGGTCTTCAGGCACGCACACAAGTATTGAACATCTGCTTCAGCTTTAACTGAATGAAATGAACTTGATTTTCCCCATAAGACTGGTAAATAGTTTTTGCTGTGCCTTTCATAATCTTTTTTTGGACAGAGCAGTGCGTATAAAATTTTCTTACTCTTTTCTTCCTTGAATACATCCTCTGTAAAATACTCAGATGCCTAATTATAGTCTGGGACACTGTTGGTGCTCTGTCCTTGCAAAAACATCATTAAGGCTTCCCACACAATTGGCTCCAGTGTAATTGGGGGAAGGCCTTCGCTGTTATTGAGAAAGCAATTGTATCTTTAACCTTGAAAATTAATGAGTCAAAGGGAAGGGTGCTTAGAGGACTTTTCTGATAACGCCAGGCACATACCTGCTGTCATTGGCTGTGAAGAATTGCAGAGCTGCTTTTTGTTGGTGGTGGTTTTGGCTTGCATAAAGTTTTTTGCAGGCATAAACCAGACAACAAAAGAGTTGTTTTCTAGGATATCTAGTCATCTGCTTGTTGAAGGAAGTGTGTCACAGCGAATGAGGAGAGTGAATTATTCAAGATGAATAAAGCACTGCGGTCCAGTAAATCAGAAGTGACTTGTCATCTTGGATGCCTTCTGTTTCTTGGTGCTAAATTTTATATATACAGGGCCTGGTTTTCCAGAGGATGGATGCTCAGCGTTTCTGAGGGTTTGGCTTGTTAAAGTCTCTCAAATGGGCAACTAATGTCATCAGTGGTTGCTTCTGAGTGTTGTTAGGCCAACATATATAAGTCGTTATCGATATAGAGAGCGTTTGTGATTGGTGCAAAGGTAGATAAAGCCTGAAGAGTCTGAAGCAAGGAAGAAATGTCTTCAGGGGCCCACCTGAAAGTATTCTGGCCTGTGGGCAATAACAGAGCCATCAAACTGATTATATCTATGCAGTCATTTTGACCAGGAGATCAAGTTGGTGACTGACAAATTTGAACACACCCCTAATAGTGATCAACAGTGGTTTCAATCAAATTTTCAGTCGCATCGTCCTTGCGTTCAGAGCAGATGTGAGATTACCTGCTTAAAGCGTTGGTGTCTCTGCCTTTCTACCCGTGCTAGTGTCCTAGCCGGCTGGATACAGCAGCTGGCTGCATGGGTCAGGACAATTAATGGTGTAGTGTTTAAGGGTGGCTTTGATGTTAGTGAAAAACCTTTGTTTAACTTCTGTAAAGAGCATTGTATCTGTCCCAGAAAAAGAGCACAGTGGTATTTCTGTTTATCTCGGTAGAGTTGGGAATATAATTTGAAAAGTAATGTTATATAACAAAACTCATTAAATAGAGATTTTTCTTTTGTCTTTGCTATTCATGGAAAGATGCGCTACACCCTGGTTTCTAAAAGTTGCTGTTGTATTTGATTACATGGAAGAATATCATTGTACTGAAGTGAGTAAAGAGTTCTTCTACCAACAACATAGACAGAAACATTAAACTGATCATTTTAGGGAATCTGAAGTGTGGCTGGACAATGCTTCGAAGTATCATGGTTTGTACTGAATGCAATGCAATGAAGGATATCGAACAGGCTGGTTTCTTCCCAAGTGTTTCCTCATGTGACGGTCTTATTTCTGTGATGATTTTGAAAGGACATAGAGCTCCAGTGCTCTTGCACCTCACCTGATCTCTACTTCGCTCCACCTCCCTGTATAACCAAATCAACGTCATATGTAACTTCCTCAGGAAAATGACTTAATGTCTGAAACAGGACATAGGTAAACTTAAGACTTCCAAAATCATGATCTAATACTCCCCCTCCTGCACTTCATGGTCTGCCAACCCCCGAGGGGCCTCAGATCCCTGGATGCCCCTTTGGCAGCTCACAAGATGCCTGCAGACTGCAGTGTCCTCAAACACTGCGTGAGATCCAGCAGCAAGGAAGAGGACAGGGTCCCCGAGCCACTGAATAAATGGAGAAGATGCCCTCTTCCTGTGATTGCCATGTGTGTACAGATCTCCAGATGTGGGAGAGACAGCCCTTGGCTGTGCGGAGTTGGGACACCTTCCCCCTGGCACCAGGAGGGGCTGGGATGTGCTGGTGGCAGGAGGGGAGATTCCCAAGGGGGGGTGGCAGCTTCTGCTCCCTGCTCTGGGCCAGGCGAGGAAGGGACCAGTTCATTTGCTTTAGGGAAATGCAACCAGCTTGATTTTAGACATAATTTTGTTTAGGAATCTCTGCCCTGGTGATTAGAGCAGTGATTTAGCATGGGGGTGGGTCACAAATTTGGCTACTTGCTTTCAAAGTTTTAAGGGGTATTTCTTGTTAGTTTTTATCTAATGATGAATTTTACACTGCAGAGGCTTGGGAACAGAGCCCAGTCCCTTGGCTTCGTGTCTCATGAGTGCTCGTGTTTGTGCTGCTTCCCGTCCTGTTTCAGGCCCGACCAGGTCTCTCCACTGACTCCTGGAGTGTGGTGGGCCGAGGTCCTTGCTGCAGGCTGAATAGTGCTGTTTTGGCACCCGGTGGCTGAGGGGGGACAAAATACCCTGGGAGTTTCCAGGCAGCGGTGACAGCTCCATACAGCTCAGAGCCAGGTGCTGGCTCTCAAAGCAAGGAGCAGATCTCCTGCGTTGCCATCAGCTCAAGTCCACGCTTTCTGGAGGTGCCTGTCAGGTCTCTGGATGCTGTTCTGGCTCCAAAGCCTCACCTTGGAGATACAGAGATCTTTTAGCAGTTCCTCTTCTCTCCTCTTCTGCATCTCCCTTCCAGCTGCCTTCGTGCCCTGGTGAGGGCAAGGCCTGAACAGGGGTGAGATGATGGAGAGATGTTTGTGATCCACGTTAACATCCTCCGATAAATAGCACGTTTTACAGTGTTTCTTTGCTGAAGGTCTCTCCAAGCACTTTCCAGACCTCATTTTGGAAGTGGGGAGAGAAGCTGAAAGAGGCAACATCCCCTAACTCAGGTGTAAAACCGTCCGTACAGCAGGCTGCTGCTGCTGGCTGAGGTGCTTCTGAACCATGTGTCCAGCATGGGAACTTGGCGCTTGTCGCACAAAGGGGCTAGAAAACCCACTTCTAAGGATGAAAAAATCTCTATCCTTTCTTACGCAAGAGATCTGGAAAGCTAATTTGTAAGCGGGCTTCTCGCAGCTTCCCGCAAGCGAAGCGAGGCAGAGCCTGCTCGGAAAAAAACGTCGGTCTTTTCACCCCCTGTGACTGCGCAGCTTGTAGCTGGTTAAAGAAACCCGGTGTCGAGTTTAAGAGCGATTGGAAAAACAGAGCGGCTGGGGAGGAGGGGGGCTGAGGAAGCACTGTTATCAGCTTGTACTAACCTATTCAAATAAACGTCTGGGCTGAAAGCGAACAGAAAGCTTGGCTTTCGCGCCCGTCGCTTCTGAGCGCTCGCTGTCCGTGTTGAGCGAGATGTGCGCTCAGCCCGGCGGCGCATGTGGGATTGTTTTGCTCTATCTCCGCTCCCGGCCCGCGATGCCAGCGCGCCGTTAAGATGTTGAGCAGGAGAGCGCCGAGCAGCAGGGCCTTATATGGAAGCAAAACTGAGAGCCGACGGAGGGGAGAGCGGGCGCTTGCCAGTAACGCGCTGTGCGTCAGCACCTCGCCTGGGTAGGGCCCCCCTCCCCCGGCCGCGCTTGGAAGGGCCGAGACGGCGCCACCCCG